TAATTTTTTTTACAGTTTTCGAACTGTAAATCACAAAAACTACCGAACATTCAGCTGTTCTCAATAAAATTACTGACGTTCATTAGTTTTTGCAAGAAACTACTGAATGCGGTAATAGTAATCACTGAATTGACCGTAAAATAACAGTTTTACGTGAAATGACTAAAACTCAGTAAAATAGAACACCGAGGTTTCAGTACTGATTATGTTTTACTAAAACAGCAAACGAAATTCCAAAATTACTGATCACACTAGTAAATTGGACTCCTTTACGTCATTCTCCTCCGTTCCACCTCGCGCAATTAAATTCAGAAATTTGTGTGTGAAAACAGCAACATGTTTGTGAAAATTTGTTAAACGACTTGAAATCAACGCAGGAGTGCAAAATCATACGAAATCGGGCAGTTTCTGCACTCCTGCATCGACTTCCAGATGTTCCATTGAATTTGCAGCAAAAATTTCAATTGTGTATAGTAGTGCTCCAGACTTACGCACGCAATCTGGCACTCCAAGAAAGCAACCAGCCGGCTGAACCACGAAGAAGTATTAAGCTGGACTATAGCTCAAGATTAGTTTAAGCAGCATCATTGCTATTATGCCTCTAAGCAAATAAACCTGAGTCCGAGTCTGAGTCCCCTAATAAAAATCTTAAAATATCCGACATATTTTATTCATTACTCATTGATATTTATTCATCAAAATACTGGGAAACTCAGCAAAAATAATGAAAACAAATAAATTACTGAAAAAGTCAGCAATATTTTTAACTGACTGAAACGGTAAATTTTGACATATCAGGGATTTTTCCATTTACCGAGTTTACAGTTAAATCAAAAACTACTGAGTTGATTGCTGAAAACTCAGCTGTTTAAAAACCCAGTAAAATTTTACCGACTTCGGTAATCTAAACTTTGTGTGTAAGTGTGTACGCTCCCATATGTTAACTATTTTGAGCGAACGTTATTTAAAATTCCCGATATTATTATGACATCCGTGAATTTCTTCCGAAGTGTCATAATTGGTCAGTGTCCATTTTCGGTTTAATACTAATAAGATTTTATTTCAGTTAATGTGTAATTATTTTTGTGTTAGAAAGTATTCCAAACTAACCCTTTCTTTGAAAATTGTGGTGGCCCTGAACAGGGCCGTTTTGATGTTGCATGGCCTACAAAAGGACCGTTTTGGTGATGTGGTTTTAAAATGAACAGTATGTAAGGTGACTGTTGTAAAAGGATACTGTAACACCCAGTTCAAAAGAAACTTACAGCAGACAACAAGGTAAACAAGGGGCGATGGTACGAAAAGTACGTAATAAACCTTTTGGTTGGTATTTTCCTTTCAAACACCAAATCGATGCATGTGCCAGCCAATGTAGTCGGCAGCTTAGGGCCTGATACGAGATCGAGTTGCAGAAAATTCATCATAAATTGGACGAATCCGATATGCTCAGCTTTCGAGACGTCTACGCACCCCGCAACGATGATTGGATTATCTTTCGTTCTATAGTGGAACAGATTCCTGGTCATAAAGAGTTTGGCTTGCTTCATCATAGTATTCGGTGCCAGCACAAATATATGAATTTTGTATTGTGTGTCAAGCCAAATTATATTCTATGCATTTCGATCAACATCCACGAAGTATGCTGTGCAGAATATGTAAAAAGGGAGGGAGGACTTCGAATTTTAATCTAAATGCATATATAGAGGTACCAGACAAGTTTTGCGCTGCACTGTCCTCTGTGAACAATTAACGGAGTGAACAATTGCGTAGTTACAAACAACAGCAGTGATGGAAACCATGTAGAAGCTTGACATAATGGTTAATTATCAAAATCAACTCTTTGGTGGTAAAATTAATATTGGCGCCCCGAAAAAGACGGTTTTGTGTGAATTTTGTTTAGGCGGGTTTTGCTTCAAGAAAATTTATGAAAATTAACTCTTTAATAGGAATTATTTGTGTCGCTCTGAAAAGGACACTTTTGGTTTGATACGCATCGTCGTGTGTCGAGGGGCAAGCAAATTACCCGTCTGTTTGCCGATGAACAACACGCACTATATCGTGACGCCACTTATCACAGGTTCGTATTTGATGCACATTATCGGGTTGTTCGATCTTTGTCGTGGTTGGAGCATTCTGAAACCTATACGGATACGGTGAGCTAGTTTGAGCTTGGTGAGCTTGATGACGGTGACCCACAATGCTTTCTCACGATGAGCAACTGTCCCCAAACAGAGACAGTGTGGCTTCATCACTGCTATTCTGTCTAGAGCGCTCTTGCAGGCAGCCTTGGAAGCAAGCTGCTTGTGGAGCCTTTCGAACACGTCGAAAGGAAATGCGGCAACGGCTTGATTCGTTTGGGACCAACTATGTGATGTCTTTGTTAGGAAATACACCTTATGGTGTAAGCAAATGTATGGGAAATTTTGATGCTACAAATTTTTGTTAAATTTCTTAGTTGTTTAACTATTTGCACTATTTGTACTATATGCCACAAAATTGCTGGAGTAAGCCTCCATCGAATGGCATATTGCATGACATATTTCACACTAATGCTTTGGAGATATATGCGTTCAAAACCTGACCCTTTCTTTACATGCTCATTTTCCGTACTCGCAAAGTGTACCCCCATATAGAAAACAAAGACGTAGTCCTACGTCAAAAACATGTTCGTCTTCTTTTTCTGGCTGCTACGTTCCAACTGGAACTTGACGAATGCACTCAACTAAGTGTTCTTTGACCACTTCCACAGTCGATCATTGAGAGCTTTCTTAGCCTTAACAGATGCATTCGTATATTTGCATAAGCACGGCTGTTGAACTGGGTCACCACTTCTTCTTCTTCTGGGTTTTTACGCTTCTGCAGCGAACGTTTGGCCGGCTCTCAACGTAGTGTTCAAGATGCACTTCCACAGTTATTAATTGAGAGCTTTCTTTGCAAACCAATGCATGCATTTGTTTATTGTGTGGCAAGTCCTATGTCCAGCGAAGTCGAGAAAATTTACCACTCGAAAGATTTCCTCGACCGGACCAGGAATCTATTCTCTCACCTCCAGCTTGATAGTACCTCAGTAGCTTGTAGTCAGTAGGATATGAGGCCCATATAACTGTCTCACCACCCTGGTTTCGAATAAAGATTGTTGTGCAAGTATCTGCTCTGAAAACGATCATATGTTGCATAATTTATCTCATTTCATGACTTGACACAAACATTTTTCGTAATAAGTAATTAATGTTTTAACTTGACCACCCTCAATGAACACGTTAGTTTGACCACGTTCAAGGATAAATATAACACGCTTCCCTTCCCATTAAGTGCTAATAGCAGCATGGGCAGAATCAGACCATATGAGCAATAGCTTGTCCATACCTGACAGATGACCTTGAAATTCTACAGCAGCCACCTTCAGCTGGTGGCGAATTTCAAATTCGCACTTATGTTGATCCCAGCCAGCAACCAGTCATGAAGCATGTAATTTTTGATACTCAAAGATTTAATTGCTAGGCATGCGTCCGTAAAATCACCATCCTCCTATTCGCAGTGTTTGTTTTGAAGTCTGCAGTGGCAAAGTTAGTACGAACATGGGACTCCTCATAAAATTTAACTATCAATAAAGCTGACTACATTCTAATTATAGCTGCGCCACGCCATGCGTCAGGTTGAATGCTACCAAGCGAAGAAAGAGGAGTGCCCGGCAGTTGAATGTTGCTTATATTAACGTGCAACATGATATCACCCTAATTTATGATCTCTTGCGATAGATCCTGAGAGGCAATGCTTGATCTATATCTGCTGGAGCAAAACACGATGCAGTGGCTTCTGGGTAGTTGTATTTCATGTGAAGGTGATTATCTTATCTACAATCAGCGGTTTGTTTTTCCTTTCCTTGGATTGGATTTGCATTTTCTTCCAACGATAAATCCCCATTTGGTATTCTTTCCATCTCGGGAGAGAAACTACCCAGAGGAGATAAATCATTGCATTACATATTATGCAAAGTAATGGGATGAGTTGTGCATATTAGTGATTTACGAGTTCATTTTGAAAACAGTTCCATGTTATGTAAATCAACCGACTGATCTCGATCGGATGACTGGCTGTTTGCACGGTGACTCTACCATGAGCGTTCGATGAAGAACATGTAAATTTCCTGTGTTCTGGAAGCTGTCGCAACTGTGAGGCAATTTGCAAGTATGATATCATTTTACGTCAGCCATGAAAGGGATAGCTTCATCTTCAAACATTTGCAAATAAACAATCTTTACATAAAAGGAATTCTCAAAATCAACTGAAAGAAATCATTTGGTTTCAAGTGTGTTTTAGTTTGAGGTATGCATCTATTAAAAAAAAAACATACGAATAATTGACTTTCTTTTTAAAACACGTTCTAAAAAAGTTTAAAAAAAAAAAATTGCAAATTTTGCCCTTAATTTCTGAATCATTTTGAATGTCATAGGACTTGAAGGATAAACATATATGATTCAGTCAGACCCATATTGGGAAACCATTTGTCTAGCTCTTCGGTTGACAGTGCTTGAGCAATTCTTTTTTTATGAATGTGGGCGTCTTACTGGAATATAAAGAGAGAGAGAGAGAGAGGGAAGGATTAGTAATTGTCATTTAATTCCACTACCTTATTTGCTAATCCTAAATTGATACGCATATCTTGTCCACAATTTGCAGAATTCTTCAGTGTCTTGTACTAATACTCGACTATAGAGTTCTTTAGGTTTAAATTAGGATATTCCTTAAAAGTTTAGTTTTTCCAGTATTATCAGTCAGTCTTATTATTTTGTGATTCTCTTTTATAAGGGAGACTTAAAGAGCTAGTTCCAGCATATACTGTTTTTGATAGAGTTTTCTGATGACGAATCAGACAAATCGGAAGATTTTATACAGGCAGAATTCTTCGAAGGATACGATGAACGATGTTCCAGATCGGTATTTATTATCTTATTATTTCAAGGTAGACAAGACTGATCCTATCTTTTTTCAGGAGCCTTCGAGTTACGATCAATCGGCAAAATTTCATGACAACATTCATGTCAAAGACATAATGTTTATGGCACTGAATTTTTACATAAGGCACAAGCTTACCCAAGGAGGTTTGGAAGACTTTATGAAAATGTTGAATGTTTTCACGATAGGCAAAACTTTTCCCGAAAGCTTTATCACTTTTACTAATGCTTTCCCAGCTCCGAAAGGGTTTATTTTTGTGTGAATTGTCATGATGGGTATGTCGTCTTCTTGTTCAATAATGACAGCACACTAACAACCTATTTTATTTTAAGATATGAAGCTACTTCACAACCTGAACCTCTATGCCCTGTGGAAAACTGTGGATCAATTTGATCGGACTTTTTGGTTACTTTTCCCATAGAGCAGCAAATTAGATAATCTTTTTTGAAATACTCCAAAGAAATAGCTGAATACGAGACACCGGTTATTACTGAAGAAATTCGCGATGTAAGCCGTTTATGATTTAAACATTTTTTTTTCAACAATCATTCGAAAATTTTATCATTTCTTACTATTTATACACAGATGCTTCTAATGATCGTCACTTAGAAACAGAAAATAGTGAATAAACTTATATTTTGGAATCATTAATATATATTTTATGTATTGATCAGCGAATCCAAACACATAAAGCAACCAACGATACAGACAAAACGGTTGATACGACTACTATGACAAACTCGCTCTGTAACATAGCTCGATCCGAGTGGTAGAATGATAATGATATATTGCTTGCAACAAAGCATGCAATATACACGGATATAGCTTGATATGAATCGAGAAAAAACATAACAAAAAAAATCCCATTAACACACGTGTATCATCTTCGGCTTTACTTCGTGAAGCAGCTTGCCAACAATTTGCTCGTTTCCTTCTACCACCCCGAGTGAGTTGTGTCGCACAGGCTGCTTGTCATGAAAAAGAAGGGAGAAGATTATATCATTATTGCTTTCCACTTCTGACATAGCGTTATTATTCGGTTCGTTCTGGGTACTGCGGACTCACTCAATGTGCTTGTCACTTGGGAGCCAGTCAGAACTGTAAAACGGGAGCCAAACATTCAGAAGCAAAAAACTCAGTTCCTGTTCTTACCTCTCGTCAAGCATTGCAATCTTATAAAAATGATTCATACTTTTTCATAACACATTCTTAATTGTAAGCTCAAAGACAAAAACCAACAGGCCCAATGATGAAAGTATAAAAACCAGCATAGTTTTTATGACTCAGCTGAGTTTTCAATTGCAGTAAAACATACTTTGGCGAAACATGTATGTCAACAAACTTTGATAGAGTCATGGGGGCTCGAGCACTTCTGGCTCAGAGCTTTTGGCGGGAATAAACTGAGAAAGAACAAAACAATTTTAAACTTGAACAAATTTTCAAGCAGTTTTCCATTGGCTTGCAAAATGAAATAGATTTACTCCGCAGTACTCAGGGTTCGTTGATCTTTTGTCATTTTGTCATTTGGAGATATTTTTGATTCCTTGGTATTGATAGTAATTAAAACTGACTTTGTTATAATTCTGATATGATGAGAAACTCCGCACAAACCCCTTTGATATAAATATCGGAGCCTCATAGCCTAGTCAGTAAAGGCACGGCATTACCAAGCCGGAGGCGGTGGGTTCGATTCCTGGTCCGGTCGAGGGAATCTTTCGGGTTGGAAATTTTCTCGACTTCCCTGGGCATAGAGTATCATTATGTTTGCCACGCAATATACAAATTCATGCATTGGTATTGGCATCGAAAGCTCTCAATTAATAACTGTGGAAGTGCATTTAGAACACTAAGTTGAGAGCACGCAATAAGCTAATATGCGATAAGCAATAGGCTTGAAATGCGAAAAAGAAGAAGAAGAAGAAGAAGAAAGATGATATAAATATCAACCATTGATATAATTGTGTTATAATTTCGTTATGCCCTTCTGATCGGGTAGCGATTCATTTTTGGAACAAACTACCCACAATTTCATGGAGTTTAACTCAAGTTATCAATTTTGACGGGGGTTGGAACTTTACGTATGGTAAATATCAGGGTATCAAGATATGAATAGCGAGTAGCAATGAAGATTTCCTGAGTAGAACCAGCTGAGGGCTGAAAGTCTCTTTAATAAAGATAAAAGAAAAATAGATCATGTCGCATGCGACGATTGTCGAGAAAAACTCTCTCTGCTACAAAAAAAAAATGTCCAAAGACTTCGTTGAACCGATTAGACGTAAACCGGATCGTGTCATGTTGGCCATAGCGAATGATGCGATTGGCCAAATGCAGGAAGTTACGCCTTCTCAAAGACCGTTGCGGTACATACAAAGTCAATTCGGCGAGAATAGGTGGGACGTCAATTTCAATTAGTCGCTAAATTAGGGCGCCACTGTCCTCGACTACTGCACTGATCCGTTGTTGACATGACAGAACTATTTCTTGTGCTGCTGCTCATTATACCTGATACGTGAGTTGAACTGCTGGTTTCCTTCCCAAGTAGTGAATATAACTTTGCACATGTTAATGAAGATCTGAGAACTGAGATCTGAAAAATACGGATCAGAAGCTGTGGCCGAACGCAGCATAATCGTAAATAATATTCTCTCTTCTGAGACTAATGTTTATAATCTGTAAGCAACCACGCAAGATTCAACATTCTCACATACCGGCAATGACCGCTGTTGTATTGAAAGGTAGCATAACAATGGAAAAAGCGTTCTGATCTCCTTCTTTCTGACGCATGTGCTACTGTTTATAGTCGTGCACTTTTATCTCCCTTTTAAGTGCTACAGTAGTCACGATTTCGTTTAAGAATAAATCCTCTTCTGCCAAAAAAGATTAACCGATAATTTAAGTTTTTACAAAATGATGAGAAGTTATTTTTAGTTTCTTCAAAGAAAGCTTCTTGTTATTACAATTTGCGTTTCAAGTTCAGACTTTATCCTTTGAATTCCGAGCTAGAAAAAAAAAACTGGTTTCCTAAAGAATTCTAAACTCTAACCGATCTTTCAAAAGTATTATGTATCTTGACGCTCTTGATTGTAAGAGTCATTTCATTTTCTGAACTAGACCATGTTTATCATCTCGTTAGCAAGAATCAGCTCTACTCCGATTTCCTAGACAGCAATGAAATACAATTTTCGCTCGGTTACAGCTTCATTTTTGCTAGCTACTTTGATCCTGACCTTCTCGCCATTAAAATATAGCGTGTGCCTGTTGTTTTTTTTCTTTTCCACTTAGATACCTACCACTTGGGCTCGGTTGTCGATGAAGCAGATGCCGACGACGGTAAAGATGCTGCGGGCTTAATCGCTTCAATTAAAGTTCACACTCTCCCTGACGTTTTCATATAAGTAGGCTCGTAGCATAGGTTGAAATTGACAGAATAATTGCTCTGCAATTCAATCGAACAGGCTTCTTGATTTACGAACAAAAAGAGCAACGATCGCATTCACTCGCAACGATCAACAACTTAATTTACAGCCATTGCCCCTGCATCATTTTCTGGTTCATACGGGGTTCGTCACTTGTTTGCTCAAACGCGTTCAAGTCATCCGTGCAAAGTCCGCTTCCAAGAATGATGTTATTTCTTCTACAAGGCTTGATTGAAATTAATATATCAAATTTCCTTCATCAGAGCGGCTTCAACACAAGATTGGTTGGGCGTTTATTTAATTAATGGCTATGCTTTGAGAGCGGTCGAGGAAGTGAAGGATTAGGAAGGCGATATAAATTCCACCGGTGTGGTGTGGTGACTTGATTAGCATAGCTGGGTGCATTCTTTTAATTGATTTGTGCCTTTGTTTGACATTGCGTCAACTCGAGGATACACACTTTGAAATAAAGAATTTTACACGTGACGGAATCCATCTTTGACATTAAGGATGAAACGTAAACAAACATGTCATGTAAAATTAATTGCACCGAGATTGAAAAGTAGTTACGACGAAAAGTTTTGATTGAGCTGAATTTTGCATCTGTTGTGATTTAGCAGCTAAATTTATCTTAATTTTTCTAAGTGTGTAGTTTTGATGAATATTAAGATGAAACATGTTTTTGGCTCTCGACAAATAATGATTTGTTATGCCTCTCAGATCAGTAGCTCATCCATCCTTCTGTTTACCTTTCTTACAAATAAGGGGTTACGGACCATTTGGAATACTGACTTTCCTATGCCCGAAGAACCGAGTGTCAGTCGACTCAGCTCGACGAGATCGGAACATTCCAGTGTGTGTGTGAAACGAATAATTTTCTGTCGTATTTCTCGGCAACCACTGAACCGAATTGGACGCAACAACCACAAAATGAAAGGTTTCATAGAACGCTTTTAAATGATTTTGGCATCGGTCAACTGGTTCCAGAGATATAGATGGAAGTAGATCCAAAATACATGGATTTATGGAACTAAGTCGAGTTTCTCGGCAACCACTGAACTGAATTATACGCAACATTTGCCAAATGTAAGGTATTGTGGTCTCATAGAATGTTGCTGAATATTTTTAGAATCGATCAACTGATTCCGGAGATTTTTCCGGAACAGTTTAAGAGTCTATAATCGGCAATAATCATTTTAAACCCATCATGTGACACCTCAGGTCACATGAGAATTCAAAAATTAGTGTAATGGTGGTTAATAAAGGCTGACTGAAATTAAATTGGTACGCACAAAAAGACCTGTAATTCGTCATTCAATAAGTTTAAAAAGTCCAGTTGCTTTACAGTACTTTTATTAAAACTTCAAAGTTACAGTTCAGATCGAACGAACGAACGAACTCCTCTTGATGGAGCCCATCAGCGCTTGCACAGTGAAAATGGAATCAGCGCATTTCTTCAATTTCACCCGCATTTGCTGGACTGCCCCGCCGATTCGTCGAAGTCGCTGCTTTGAAATTGCCCAGTATTTTTCGATTGGTCGAAATTCCGGGCAATTTGGAGGATTCATTAGCTTGGGGACAAAATTGATCTTGTTGGCAGTATACCACCCAGAAGCACCTTGGAGTGGTGGCAGTTGGCAAAATCGGGCCAAAACATGACTGTACCCCAATGCATCCGGATGAACGACAATACACGCGTCAAAACACGGTCGTACAAGAGCCTTGCACACTTTTTGGCCTGCTTCATGTGCCGGTTCGGATGTTTACTGGCTTTTTACGACTGGCAAGGATGCTCCGCACCGTTAGAAAGTTGGAATTGTATCTTCTAACCACATCTCGGATCGAAAGACCGGGGTTGGCATTACCGCACCTCAATACTTTGCTGCGCAGCAGATGATTCCTGGTTCGAGTTTTTTCATAGGTCCGCTTATTTCTTTCCACACTCAATGTTTCCTTGTAGATTTTGAGCACTCGACAAACTGTTGTTTTCGGCATCTTTAGCACATTAGCCATCTTGGAACCGGTCCAGCTCCGGCTTTTTCAGGTGTTTGTGTACATTATTTTTTACTTCTTTCGAGTTCCATTTGCCGTTATTTCTGAATGCGATCAACT